ACAGAGGCAATTAGACACATTAGGTGAGTGGGCAAAAACTTGGCAGACGGAATGTAATGTGGGAAAATATAAGATTATGCACTTTAGCAGGAAGAATAGAAGAGTTGAATATTATATAAATTTGGAAAGACTGCAGGAAAATGAAACACAGAGGGATTTGAGGATCCTTATGCACAAATTACAAAGAGCTAACATTGAAGTTCAGTAGGTAATGGGGAAGGCAAATGGAATGTTGGCCTTCATTTTAAAGGAAATGGAGTATAAAAAATAGGGAAATATTGCCAAAACTATACATGACACTGGTAAGACCACAGCTGAAATATTATAAACAGTTTTAAGATAGTTGTATGAAAAGAGACACTGGAATTGGAGGCCATTCAGAGAAAGGTGACAAGGTTGATTCTGCGTATGGAGCGATTTTTTAATGAGGAGAGGTTGCATCGGTATGGCTTGTACTCTTTGGAGTTTGGGAGAATGATGGGAGACCTTATTGAAACATACAAGATATTAGGAGACTTGACAGAATCGATGTGGTTGCATTAACTAACTCCTCACGTTAGCTAGAGTCACTTAACTTTCCTTGAGCTCAAAATGTAAATGAATGATGAACAATAATGCCAAAAGGGAGAGCAGTTTCCTCTCAAGTTCTGATTCTTCACCATCTAAATGACCTTCCACCCTACCCAGTGTGTATTAGCTAGTAGCTGGTGTTACATGTCAACTGATCAGGCTTTACATCCACGCCACCAAATAGCTTGATATGAGATTGGTGCCCTAACAAGTGAAGAGTCATTTAATATCCTCACTCCTAAAAATGTGACCTGAACTTTGTAGTACACCAAGCAGCCAAAATAAACTTGGAGCAGCTGAGTATTTGATCTACAGAACAATTGTAACCACGTAGACACTGACTTACAATAACTGAGTACGTCAATTCCTGTTTTGTTACGTGGTGCTGTAAAATGTTTGCCACTGCTTTGGTGAAGGAGGTTGTCACACTCTAGTGTTTTATAATTACAGTGTCTGGTTTTCGTTAATGTGATAGGCAGAGCTAGATAAGCATATGACAGAGAAATGAATTGAAAGGTTATATTTACAAGGTTAAATGAAAATAGGATGGGAGAATCTGCAGTGAAGCATAAACAACATATATTGAGGTAATTAGCTAGCCCCAGGAATTGGATTGATATAGGGCAATAACAGGCCTTTATGGTCCCACCTTCCCCATCTGACCAAGACCTCAAAGATTGCCAGAAACCCACTCACTAAAAAGGTCTCTTTGATCTAAACTAAACCACAAAAGATAGAGGTAAAGAGATCAGATGTACTGCATCATTACTAATGTAATTGGCAATCAAATACTCTGCGTAGACTGGCTAGCCAAATGAGTAATACAATATCAGTAATGAGAATACATTTTAAAAATATTTCACTAGTTCTAGCTACAGAAGATACTCATTCTATAAGCGCATATTATTGACATATTTTCCTTGACCTAAACCCAGCTGTTGTGAAACCCTCATTCATGCTTTTGCCACCCTACCCACACTCAAATATAAAAATGTTTTTCCAGACGTCTCCTATCCCCCAAAGTCTAAGCATATTTTTTCAAGCATCAGTCCCTTATTTGCTGACCTACACTGGCTCTCCAATCCAATAATAGCTGATGTTCAAATCCCTTCAGGTCTCACCTCTTCTGTGCTCTGTAAACTTCTGTAACTGTGGAACCCTGCAAAATATTTGCATGACACTAATTTGGAAGAAGCAGAAAGTCATTTAGATGGGATATTGATAAAGAAATGTAGATTGCTTAAGTGAATGAGCAAAATGATTGAAAATGGAGTTCAATGCGAGCAAGTGTAAGATCAGTCAACTTGTATCCATGAAAAATAAATTGGAACTTTTTCTAAATGGTGAGAAACTTGAAATTTCAAAAAGATTTGACAGTCCAAATGCGCAAATGATTAAAAACCAGTACATAAATACAGAAAACAATCAATAAGATTAAAGAAATGTTGGCATTTCTCTTAATGAAGCTAGAATACAAAGGAGGAAAGTATTTTTCCAGTTGTGTAGAGCTTTTGCTTGTTCTAATCTGAAATAATATATTCAGCTTTACGGATTGCACTTGAAAAAAAAATACACTTGTCTTAGAGTGAGATTATGCCATCCGGTCCTAGACTCTCCCACAAGAAGGAACAAACAATCTGCATCTACTCTTTCAAGCCTCCTAATAATTATGTATGTTTCAATAAGGTTGCCCCTTATTCTTCTAAACTCCAATGAGCACAGACTCAACCTCTTCTTGTAAGATAGTGTCTCCATACCCAGGATCAAACTAGTGAACATTCTTTGGACTGCCCCCCATGCCAGAATGTCTTCCATGCCCCTTGAAATAAAAGCCAACATTCCATTTGCATTCCCTATTACCCACTAGCTTTTTGTGATTTATGCATGAGAACTCCCAAATCCCTCTGTCCAAAGCTTTCTGCATTCTTTCCCCATATGGATAAAATTCAGCTCCTCTATATTTCCTGACAAAATATATTATGTTCCATCTGTCCAGTTTTTATCCACTTGCTTAACCTGTCAATATCCCTCCGTCATCCTCGCTACTTGCTTTCCCATCTATTTTTTGCATCACCCTTGGATTTGGCTATAGTGCATTCTACTTACTCCTCCAAATCATTAACATATATTGTAAATAATTGCTGACACAGCACTGAGTCCTGTGACACTTCACATCCATTCTGAAAGTGCTTCCCTTTACCCCAATTCTCTGCCTCCGATTAGTAAGCCAATCCTCTAGCCATGCTCATATACTACCCCCAACAGCATCAACATCGTCTCTGTCTAAGCACTCAGTTATCCCTGACAACTTGTCTAATTATTTGTCCAATTATTCTCCTGTGCAGAATTTTGCAAACTGTATTTTTATTCATTCACAGGATGTGGGTGTAGGTCAGCATTTATTGTCCATACCCAGAGGGTAGGTAAAAGTGAATCACATTGTTGTGGCTCCGGAAACACATGTAGACCAGACCAGGTAAGGATGGCAAATTGGCTTTCCTCAAGGCCATTAGTGAACCAGATGTGCTTTTAAACAGCAATTAGTGTTGGTTACATAGTTATCATTTTAATTCCAGTTTTTTTCCTTTTATTGAATTTAAATTTCATGATCTACTATTGGTGGGATCTGAACCAATTAGCCCAAAACATTAAATTGGGGCTTTGGATTACTAGTCAAGTGATACGACCACTAGACCGCCACCCTGGGTTAAATATGCTACAGAAATTCACACAGTTCTTTTTGAGAGCCTCAGTTCATGCTTTAAAAAACATGACAGAGCACATTATGCCTCACGCTTCTTTAAGAAAACAATCATGTATACAGAATCTCAAAGAGAAACAGAATCAAATGTTGCGAATTAATCAAAATTGCCTTTCAGTTAATAAATTGGGACAGACTGGCCAATAATTTTGAGAAAGTGGATGTAGACCTGCTGAGTGAAGAAAACTCAAACTCACAATGTCATAGAGCTGTACAGCATGGAAACAGACCCTTCAGTCCAACTCATCCATACCGGTCAGATATCCTAAATTAGTCTAGTGCCATTTGCTAGCACTTAAGCCCATATCCTTCAAACTCTTCCTATCATATACCCATCCAAATGCCTTTTTAATGTTGTAATTGTACCAGCCTCCACCACTTCCTCTGGCAGCTCATTCCATACACACACCACCCACTGCGTGAAAAAATTACTGCTTAAGTCCCTTTTAAATCTTTCCCCTCTCATCTTAAACCTATGCCCTCTAGTTTTGGACTCACCATCCTCAGGGAAATGACCTTGTCTATTCATCCTATCCATGCCCTTCATCATTTTATAAACCTCTATAAGGTCACCCATCAGCTTCTGATGCTCCAGGGAAAATAGCCCCGGCCCATTCAGCCTCTCCCTACAGCTCAAACCCTCCAACCCTGGTAAATCTCTTCTGAACCCTTTCAAGTTTCACAACACCCTTCCTATAGCAGGGAGACCAGAACTGAACGTAGTATTCCAAAAGTGGCCTAACTAATGTCCTGTACAGCCACAACATAGCCTCCCAACTCCTAAACTCAATGCGCTGACCAATAAAGGCAAGAATACCAAATGCCTTCTTCACTCTCATATCTACCTGAGACTCTACTTTAAAGGAACAATGAACCTCCGCTTTAACGTCTCTTTGTTCAGCAACACTCCCCAAGACCTTACCATTATTGTATAAGTGCCGCCCTGACTTGACTTTCCAAAATGCAGCAGCTCATATTTATGTAGATTAAGTTCCTTCTGTCATTCCTTGGCCCATTGCCCCCTCTAACCAAGATCCGATTGTAATCTGAGGTAACCTTTTTTCCTGTCCACTACACCTCCAATTTTGGTGTCATCTGCAACCTTATTGACCGATGTTCACATCCAAATCATTTACATAAATGACAAAAAGCAGTGGACCCAGCACCGATCCTTGTGGCACACGTTGGTCACAAGCATCCAGTCTGAAAAACAACATTCCAGCACTACCCTCTGCCTTCTACCTTCAAGCCAGTTCTGTATCCAAACAGCTAGTTCTCCTTGTATTCCATGTGATCTAACCTTGCTAACCAGTCTACCATGAGGAACATTGTTAAAAGCCTAACTGAAGTCCATCCATAAAACCTTGAGAGGAAATCCTAAGAAGGAGGTTGGAAGGACAAAATGTAGTCCATCAACCCATTTTAGAGATATGAAAGTTTGGCCTGTCTTACAAAATAGGAGGCTCAAATTTAACTATATTCAGTATAAAGTCAAATCTAAGTCTACATAAATATAATGGAAATAAAATCTTCATGTTAGTGTCAAGTGACAAATCATTACGTTTTTTTGTGTTGCAATAGCCATTCCTGTTATATGCAAGTGTGCGAATGCATTAACAAGCTCAATTGTGCACACTCCCACCCAAACCAAAATAAAATTCCACTTTACCTTTCTACCTGTGTAATGTCGAACACCGGAATCCTGAGCATCTTCCTTCTCAAACACACATCGTTTGCTTGCAACGCCCTCTAATGGTCGGGTCAGATAGTTAGAAGCAGATTGTTTTGATTTCCTGCTATCACTTCTCTGCAAACAAAAATATGAAGTGAAATTCAATAATTTGCTTAAAACTCTAAATGCAGCATGAAACCAGTTTGGGATCCACCAGAGCCACTCAGCTCCTGACCTCATTACAGCCTTGGTTTAAACATGGACAAAAGAGCTGAATTCCAGAGATGAGGTGACAGTGATAGCCCTTGACATCAAGGTGCCCGAGCAAAACTGGAATCAATGGGTATCGAGGGCAAACTCTCTGGTGGTTGGAGTCATACCTGACACATAGGAAGATGATCGTGGTTACTGGAGGTCAGTCATCTCAGCTCCAGGACATCTCTGCTAGAGTTCCTCGGGGTAGTGTGCTAGGCCCAACCATCTTCAGCTGCTTCATCAATGACCTTCCCTCTATCATAAGGTCCGAAGTGGGGACGTTCGCTGATGATTGCATAATGTTCAGCACCATTCACGACTCCTGAAACGCTGAAGAAGTCTGTGTCGAAATGCAGCAAGATCTGGACAATATCCAGACTTGGGCTGACAAGTGGTAAGTAACATTCGTGCCACACGAATGCCAGGCTATGACGATCACCAATAAGAGACAATCTAACCACCGTCCCTTGTCATTCAATGGTGTTACCATCACTGAATCCCCCACTGTTGATATCCTGGGAGTTGTCATTGATCAGAAACTTAACTGGACTCACCAGATAAATGCAGTGGCAAAAGAGCATGTCAGAGGCTAGGAATACTGCAGCGAGTAACTCACCTCCTGACTCCCCAAAGCCTGTCCATCATCTACAAGGCACAAGTCAGGAGTGTGATGGAATACTCCCCACTCGCCTGGATGAGTGCAGCCCCAACAACACTCAAGAAGCTTGATTCCATCCAGGACAAAGCAGCTCACTTGATTGGTACATATCCACAAGTATCCACTCCCTCCATTACCGAAGTTCAGTAGCAGCAGTGTGTACTATCCACAAGATCCACGTCAGAAATTCACCAAAGATCCTCAGATGGCACCTTCCAAACCCACGACCACTTCCATCTAGAAGGACAAGGGCAGCAGATATATGGGAAACCACCACCTTCACGTTTCCCTCCAAGCCACTCACCATCCTGACTTGGAAATATAATGCCGTTCCTTCATTGTCACTGGGACAAAATCCTGAAATTCCCTCCCTAATGGCATTGTGGGTCATAGGTGGACTGCAGCAGTTCAAGAAGGCAGGTCATCACTACCTTCTCAAGGGCAACTAAGGACAGGCAATCAATGCTGACCCAGCCAGCGATGCCCACATCCCACAAAATGAATAACTAAAAAAAAATTTTTATTCCCAATTGCAGGTTTCAATCTTTTTATTTGATTACAAATATCTTACTCACAAGGGATGGTGTCACTCACCTGGATTGCCCTTGCATATTGTTCAAGTCTGTCATCAATCTTTTTTGGAATCCTTAGACTAGCACTGTCAGCAAAAAAAATGAATACAGTTATTGAGACCCCATGATCTTCATAACTAATCCTTAATTCATTGCATTTTTTATGACCAATTAATGACATTTCAGTCCACTCACCTTCTTTGGAATGGTTGGCTTTTCACCTCTGGACTTGAAACCTGAAAAACAAAATCTTTGTGTTAATAATGCACATATTTTAGTTTCTGCTGCTCCTTCTTCCAAAATCTTCTCATATCTTCTCATGGCAACAATGTGAAGGATTGCAATGGAAAAGGAGCAAAGAAAATGTCCAAGACAACAAGGTGCAGGGCTGGATGAACACAGCAGGCCAAGCAGCATCATAGGAGCAGAAAGGCTGACGTTTCGGGCCTAGACCCTTCTCCAGCATCTGCAGTTCCTACTATCTCTGAAAGAAAATGTCCATTCAGGTTCAATAAACATGCTGCCTGCAAAAGAAGTGAACAACATATACTTGTTAAGTGCTCACCCCAATACACAGATCTCTGAAAATCAATGAAAAACCATCAGCAACATTTTCAGGAAAATTAACTTCAGTTTCCTCCCTGTCCATCAAAGAAAACCAAACAAACTATCCAGGAATTCCAACTTGACCACTACATTTAAGAAGTAAGCCTTCCATAGTCCAAGCAGTTACAAGTATAACTTTCCGCAAAATACCATTGCATGAAATTACCACAGTGTTCTTCAATTTCCTGTTATCACTTCAGTGAAGAAAATGGAGAACCCCCGCTGTTTCTTTAGCCTGACCTCTGATCTTCCACTGCAGTTCCAGTGGGAGATTGGAGGAACATGACACAAATGTTCCCCTTTAATCATCTCTGTCTTTACTTAATATTTATTCAAATACTTTTTTTTTTATATTGTCTAATCACATTCTCAGGGAAGGCTTGATTGACTATGCATACTAGAATAACAATTTCACAATGTTTACATGTCTATCAAAGGAGGGTTATACAGTTTACTAACTTGGGTGGAGACAATTGCTAGAGCTGGGGTCATTACTAAGCAAGATGCTATGACTTCAGTAGCCAGGAAAAAAAAGTTATTTCATTTGGATGGGGAGTAGCAGATTTGTGAACAGGTTCAATATGACATCAAGTCTTGTCCTTTCAAAATTCAGTTCTAGGACTCCAGAGTTATGGGGGCTCATGGTGCATAAGAGGCTGATTCACAAAAAGAAAGCTTCTGTTCACCTAGTGATTTCCCAGTTATTCATGCAGTCCAAACATTGCTGGATATGATCATCAAATACACTTACTGCAGACCGCAACTCGACAGACAATATTTGGTTTACTTTTTTTAAAAGTAGTTTTAAAACATGATTATCAAGTGTGTTTGATTGCAAGTTATTACACACATAGTAAAATGTGTCAGCATATTGACAATAAATTAGCAAAACGGAGATCTATGTCAGTAAGCCATTATATACAGATCATACTGATTCTGCACATATTAAATAATGACTTAAATTATAAAGCAAAAAGAACTAAACTTTATGAACTGTAAACAGGTCCCTCAAAAACTTAACAGGGAGTCATTTAAAGCAACTCCTTTGTTTTTCTGGCCTCATTAATACAGTCCTAGTGTCATACAGCACAGAAACAGACCCTTCAGTCCAACTCGTCCATGCCAACCCAGTTTCCCAAACTAAATTAGTCCCATTTGCCTGTGTTTGGCTTATATCTCTCTAACTCTTCCCTATTCATGTACCTGTCCAAAAGTCTTTTAAATGCTGTAACTGTACCTGCATCTACCACTTCCTCTGGCAGTTCATTCCACATATGAATCACCCTCTGTGTGAAAATATTGCCCCTCAGGTCCCTTTTAAATGTTTCCCCTCTCACCCTAAAAATATGCCCCTACTTTTGAAATCCTCTACCCTAGAGAAAAGACCTTTGCTATTCACCTTATTTATGCCCCTCATGACTTTACAAACCTCTATAAGTTCACCCCTCAACCTCCAACGCTCCAGTCGAAAAAGTCTCAGCTTATCCAGACTCTCCCTATAACTCAAACTCTCCAGTCCTGGCAACATCCTTGTAACTCTTTTTTGAGCCCTTTACAATTTAATAAGATGCTTCCTTTTAGCAGGGTGACCAGAACTGTACACAGTACTCAAAAAGTGGCCTCACCAATGTTCCATACAACCACAACATGATGTCCCAACTTCTATACTTAATGGTCGGAACAATAAAGGCAAGTGTGCTAAACGTCTTAACCACTCTGTCTACCTGTGATGCTGCTTTCAAGGAACTCTGTACCTGAACCCCTAGGTCTCTCTGTTTTACCAAAGTATAATATCTCGCATTTATCTAAATTAAACTCCATCTGCCACTCTTCAGCCCATTGGCCCAATTGATCAAAGTCCCTTTGTAATCTTAGATAACCTTCATTACTGTCCACCATATGACCCACTTTGGTGTCATCTGCAAACCTACTAATCATGTCCCTTAAATTCTCATTCAAATTGTTTACATAAATGACAAACAACAGTGGACACAGCACCAATACTTGCAGAACACAAGCACAATCTGAAAAGCAACCCTCCATCACCGTCCTACGTCTCCCACCATCAAGCCAATTTTGTATCCAATTGGCAAGTTCTCCATGAATCCCACGTAGTCTAACATTACTAAACAGTCTACCATGTGGAGCCTTGTCAAAGGCTTCATTAAAGTCCATTCCTAGTGATAGGATTACCAGTCAAAAAAGGACCATCATGTTTTTGAAATTGCACCACCCTGTTGGTACATAGCAATTCTATTTAACTTTTACAACTGCTCCCAGACTATCAACTGTTTATTTAAAAGTGGAGCACAAGAATAAAGTATAATACATTTGCTCTGTTCGCATAGCAAAATTTACACTTTTGTTCATAGTATCTGGGAAATAGGCCAGTGCCATTGCTGATAATGGAAGACACCCAGACCTATTTGACTATATCACTGAAAAATTACACTAACACAGACTTACTCTGAATGATGTAGCTCTTGAAGTGAAGCGACGAAAGGGTACAGCATTAGAATTGGAATCATCATCATTGTTTTCACTTTTCTGGCGCTGTATCTGTGTGATGGCAGCAGACGTTCTTTTTACATCCTGAAATGATATTTAAAGAACTATTCCAATTATACGGTCATTTGTTTTTACCCACTTCATTGCTTACACATTTCACTCGGATAAAATCCCAAAGAGGAATAATGCCATCCAGCTGAGACAGAACTGTTGTGTGCTAACACTGGCACAATTCCCTCGGTTAACATAATTATAATAGGCTGGCCTAGTCTTGTTTGCGTTCAGTTGCTTGCTATATGATTTGAACAGATAAGGAGCTTATGTACTTTTATGGAAATTAACACCCTGTGGTAGCTGAAAGAGACCAGCAGAATTGTATCAATCTATTAGCGAAACCCTATGGTCAGCAAACTTGCTCCTTATACAAGTAAATGTTTTGGACTAATAGAGTGGGGTCCCTTCTGTTTCAGTTACAAGACAGAGATTTGATGACCAATAGTTGAGCAAACTGTGACCTCTGGAATATGGAAAGCCAAAAGACCTGCTGGAAATTTCCACCTATGTTGTCTTTTTTTTGTCCATTCATGGGTCATTGATAGTTGGTTATTCAATGACAGTAATGTTATTGAATGTCAAGGGGCAATGGTTAGATTCCCACTTGATGGAGATCGTCATTGTCTGACAGCTATATGGAATGAATATTACTCGCCACTAATCAACCCAAGCCTGGATGTTGTCCAGGTCTTGACGCACATGAACATGGACAGCTTCAGTATCTGAGATGCTGAACATTGGTTATTCTTCAGCAAACATTCTTACCTCTGACTTTATACTGGTAGGAAGGTCATTCATGCTGGCAGGAAACAGAAGATAGATGGGCCTAGGACACTATCCTAAGGGACTGCTACAGTGAGTGTCAGCAAAACGAAAGAACTGATCATTGGCTGCAGGAAGAAAGGAGGAGGACATGCCCCTGTCAACATCAATGGAGCTGAGGTGAACTAGGTCAAGTTGCTAGGAGTGACGATAACCAACCATCTGTCGTGGCCCTCCCACATAGATGCAACGGTCAAGAAGGCACAACAACATCTCTTCTTCCTCAGGTGGCTTAGGAAATTTGGAATGTCCACAAGGACCCTCACCAACTTTTACGGATGCACTGTAGAAAGCATATATTCCAGGTGCATACTGGCCTGGTATGGCAACTGCTCTGCCCAGGACTGTATGAAACTACTGAAAGTTGTGTGCACAGCCCAGACCGTACAGAAGCCAACCTCCCATCCAAGGACTCCATTTACACCTCTCGCGGAAAGGCTGCCAACATCATCAAAGACCCTTTCCACCCTCTTCCAACCTCTTCCGTCAGGCAGAAGATACTGAAGCTTTATCACACAACCACACCAACAGGTTCAAGAACAGCTTCTTCCCTGATGTTATCAGCCTGCTGAATGGACCTCTCTAATTTCAAATTAATGTTGACCTTGCTTTGTGTACCTCCTGTGCAACTGTAACCTTGTATGCCTCATTCTGACTAAGTACCCTTTGATCTGTATATCCTTCTTTGCTATGATCTGCCCGTACTGCTCACAAAACAAAACTTTTCACTGTACTTGGGTACATGTGATGACAATAAATCAAATCAAATATCCTGAGAATGAGAAGACTGGCCTCCAATAAGGTCACTTCCATTTGTGAGGTCAGAATGACAGCCCTCAACATCAAGGCCTCATTTGACCAAGTATGACATCAAGGAACCCTGGCAAAACTGGAATCAAAAGAAACAGGGGACAAACTCTATGCTGGTTAGAGTCATACCTGGTACATAAGAAAGATGGCTGTGGTTGTAGTAGGTCAGTCATCTCAGCTCCAGGACATCTCTCCAGGAGTTCTTCAGTGTAATGTCCCAGGTCAAAACCACATTCAGTTGCTTCATCATAAACCTCCCTCTACATAAGGTCAGAAGTGGGGATGATTGCACAATGTTCAGCACTATTCACCATTCCTCAGATACTGAAGCAGTCCATGTTCTAATGCAACAGGACATGGACAATATCTAGATTTGGGCTGACAATGTGCAAGTAACATTCACACTTCACAAATGACCACCTCCAATAAGAGACAATCTAATTACAGCCCCTTCATGTTCAATGGTGTTACCATCACTGAATCCCCCACTATCAACACCTTACAGGTTATCAACGATTAGAAATTAGCTGGACTTGCTATATAAACACACTGGCTACAAGAGCAGGTCAAAGTCTAGGAATACTATGGCCAGTAACTCACCTCCTGACTCCCAAAGCCTGTCCATCATCTACAAGGCACAAGTCAGGAGTGTGATGGAATACTCCCCACTTGCCTGGATGAGTGCAGCTCCAAAAATACTCAAGAAGCTTGACACCACCAGGACAAACTAGCCTGCTTGATTGGCACATTCACACCTTCCATCAATGACGCTCAGTAGCAACAGTGTGTATTATCTACAAGAAACTCACCAAAAGAGCTTTAGACAGTACCTTCTAAAACCATGGGCACCACTGGAGATCAATGGAGCCACAATGTGGGAATACCACCACTTGCAAGTTCCCCTCCAAGATACTCATCATCCTGACGTGAAGTATATTGCTTTTCTTTTGGTGTCATTAGGTCAAAATCTTGGAATTCCCTCCCTAACAGCTTTGTGAGTCTACCTGTAGGACACATTCTGCAGCAGTTCAAGAAGGCAGCTCACTACCACCTTCTCAAGGGCAATTAGGAATGGACAATAAAAGCTGGCCCAGCCAGCAATGCCCATGTCATATGTCATACAAGAGAATGGAAAAAAAATTCAACCATCTTTTGCACAACTTTTAAAAATGGCTCAGCACAACAAGTTATTTTCGAAATATTATTATATTCGTGAATGGGGAATCATTTCGTATTTTGCTATATGCCACAACAACAATGGCCAAATAACTTACTTTTCATGATGTAATTGAGAAGGGAATAATGATCAGCAAATTGGAAGAACTTTATGGGATTGCCAAAGTCTAATTCCTAGTGTCCATTTATGCTTGGGACCTCAGCGTAACTGTATAATCACAAATGCTGACAGGATTATGTCATAAAAATAAAACAAGTGCTCTTGCTGTAACAACCTAGGTAATTCTCAACTTCTTGAACTAAACTGTTACTTGAAACTTGAAAAAGTTATTAACTATTGAGGGGAAGGTATTAAATATCAAGAACGCATAGGATTATAGAAAGGGTGAACAAATTACAAACCAAATTTAATATTAAGATGTACGAAGTTGGTCTGTTTGGCAGGATGAACGAAAAAGTCAATATCATTGAAAGGGTACAATTCTAAAGAAACTCATGATGCAGAGAGAGAGAGCATTTGTGTACATTGAAACTAAAGGCAATGATGTAAAAGCATTAAGTAAGACATATGGTATTCTGGAAGATATAAATTGCAGCATTTTTGATTATACTTTATTCATGGATTATCTTTAAATAATTTACAAGACATCTCATGCCAGGCATCCCAGAAAATATAATAAAAAAGGACAGCTTAAGCTGCCATCAATGGAGTATCATGTCCAATTCTGGGCAGCACACCTCATGAAGAACATGAAGGCATTATGGAGGGTGTCGAAAAGATTTGTGGGAATGGTTCCAGAGATGTGGAACTTATTACATGGATATGTGAAAGACACTGCAGATGAAGGTTAGATTCTCACTTCACTCTCTTTAGAGGAGATTAAAAGGCAAGTTGATTGGGCTATTCAAAATCGTATGGCATCTGGACAGAGTAGGGATCAGAGAGGAAGAAACACTCTCCATTGGCAAGAAGGACCCAGAAACAGAAAATGCCAATTTAAGGTGATGCGCAAAAAAAGCAACACAAAATGATGAAATCTGTTTTTACACAACAAGTGGTTAAGATCAGGGATGTTCTACCTGTAAGCATGGTGGAAGCATATTCCATAGAGGGCTTAAAGAGGGCTCAATGATTATATGAAGAGGAAAAATTTGTAAGGCCACAGGGGAAAAGCATGCACATGGATTAAGTTGCTGTTGCTACAGCCATTCTATGGTTCCAGAGCAGCCATTGGAATCTATTGTCTTACCTGTCTCCCAGCTTTGCTGACACTCTCCTGTTTAGAGGTCTCTTGTCCTGTTTGTTCATATTCTCTGCTTTCACCTACTTTGGGTTCGGTGGGTTTTGCCTGAGATTTGAAACAATCATTTGCAATCGAGGTGCTGCTGTTCTCTTGCTGATAGCACTTGTCATTATCGAAACTCTGCTGTGTTTTCAATCTTGTTGGGCTTTTCAGTTCTTTTGGCTTTCCTAAGCTGTGAGAATGCAAATGGAGAGAAGTATTTCGTGCAAATGTGGATTGTAACATGGCACATATTGAACAGCAAGCAATAAAATTGCAGGTCTCCCACAACCCTGAATGTTACCAAACACAAATGATGATAATAAACTTCATTAATTCTCACAATGACCACAAGGTGGAGTATGACATTGCAGTATTAAAAACAAAGCGATTCATTATGAATGAGTCAACTATTTTCTTCCACAAGAAAAGTGAATAGGTTTGTAGACCATAACCCCAGCACACTGGTAGAGAAGCCATACAATAAAAAGAGTTAACTTGTTCGGGGCATTATACACATAGTAAACAAATACATAAGGGAATCTTTCAAAGATTTTGATTTTTAGCATTCATTTCAAGAGGCTAGAAGGCAACAGCAGATAGATACCGCTGAGGCTATACAAGGCTCTAGTCAGGCTGCATTTGGAATATCGAGAGCAATTTTGGGCCCCATATCTAAGGAAGGATGTGCTGGCCTTGGAAAGCATCCAGAGAAGGTTTGAAAGAATGATCCTAGAGATGAAGGGCTTGTCGTATAAGAAGCAGTTGAGGATTCTATATACGTACTCAATTGAATTTAAAAGGATGGGGGGGGGGAGGTCTCATGGAAACTTACAGAATACCGAGAGGCTGGACAGAGTGGACGTGAAAATGGAAACGAGTTTCTACGAGTAGGAATGACTAGGACCCAACGACACAGCCTCAGACTGAAGGGACAACCCTTTAGAACTGAGATGAGCAGGAATTTCTTCAGATGGTGGTTAATCTATGGAGCTCATTGCCGCAGAAGGCTGTGGAGGCTTTGAGTGTACTAAAGACAGGCATAGATTCTGATTAGTAATGGTATCAAGGGTTCCGGGTAGAAGGCAGGAGAATGGGATTGAAAAATATACATAGAACATAGAACATAGAACATTACAGCGCAGTACAGGCCCTTCGGCCCTCGATGTTGCGCCGACCTGTGAAACCAATCTGAAGCCCATCTAACCTAAACTATTCCATTATCATCCATATGTTTATCCAATGACCATTCAAATGGCCTTAAAGTTGGCGAGTCTACTACTTTTGCAGGCAGGGCATTCCACGCCCTTACTACTCTCTGAGCAAAGAACCTACCTCTGACATCTGTCCTATATCTATCACCCCTCAATTTAAAGCTATGTCCCCTCGTGCTAGCCATCACCATCCGAGGAAAAAGGCTCCCACTGTCCACCCTATCTAATCCTCTGATCATCTTGTATGTCTCTATTAAGTCACCTCTTAACCTTCTTCTCTTTAACGAAAACAGCCTCAAGTCCCTCAGCCTTTCCTCATAAGACCTTCCCTCCATGCCAGGCAACATCCTGGTAAATCTCCTCTGCACCCTTTCCAATGCTTCCACATCCTTCCTATAATGCGGTGACCAGAACTGTACGCAACACTCCAAATGCATCCGCACCAGAGTTTTGTACAGCTGCAACATGACCTCATGGCTCCGAAACTCAATCCCTCTACCAATAAAACCAATAATACCATCCATGATCAAATGGCAGAGCAGACTCGTTAGGTTGAATGGCCTCATTCTGCTCCTATAACTTATGGTCTTATGTAAACTTCAAGTCTGGCTTGACTAAACAGAAGTTAGTGATCAAATCCAAATACTCTCATCCTCAAGAGTTCAAATTATGGTGTAATTGTCTGGCCTGATCAGATGATAATTTTTTTTGGCCCAATTATGTCAATTGTTGAAGGCAGATTTATACCTTGGCATCCGTGCTTACTTAATGTGAGCAATCTACAGTAAAATCAAAATCAATTAGAATGTAGCAATCTTTCATTAATTGGAAGAGACAAGTTTCCAGAACGTAAGGCTTATGATCCTTACCTGGCAGCAGATATGAATGATTCTAAGACAATATTAGAAGTTTTAACAATAACACAATGCACAATATGAAATGCACAAATTTTGGACCTCCTACCTTATAAAAGCCCGTGTGGTATGTACTGGACTAGGAGGTGATTGAAGAGGTGATTGACTGCAGGCATTTTCTTTATTAGAATGATTCTGTGTACGGGCTGCGCTGTTGTTGGTCTCCTGTTCCTGCTTAGAAGTAAGAAAATCATCATGTAAAGAAATTTCAATCACCATTTCCAAAGGGTGATGCATCTTTGTAACAAAAAACAAAATATTATCAAAAGAATCTTTTGTACATTCATTCACATTAGGAAAAGTTCCATTGAATACATTGTTACCAAGGAGTTGAACTTCCAGAATTCTTCTTCCAGACTCCAAAGAAAATTCCCGGAGGACCGTTGTGTAGAACAGTTTGATAGCAGGCTGTACAGGCCTGGACAAACTGGTTCTCAACTTCACTGCACTTGGAAAATTACACTTGACTTTGTGAGTTGCAGAGCCTCTGCTCACAAAATGTTTGAAAGGTCAGGCACTTGTTACTCTGTCAGTCGTCATTGTCTCTACCCCATAAGCGATGCCTAGTGGATAGTTTGAACACAATACACATCCTGCTGAAACACCACTCTCAGCACGAATTTGTCTTCTTAGGCAGTCCACTGGGCTTTGGAGGTGGCTTGTTTTGCCTCCAGGTCAAATCGGTTCTGAAAAGGCTGATAGATCTAATGCAGAGTCAGCAGTTTCTACTCCATTCATGGCTGGTGGTGCAATAAGGGTTGGGTATCTGGGCTACTGGGCTCTCTCTTATGCCTTGATTCCATCTGCAAGTACAGCATTGTCTTGGGAGTTGGGTGTGATGCATAGAAAAGATACCGGCCAACCAGTAATGCTGGCATTAAATGTTGCTGAACAGACACAAACACATCATTTTGACAGCATCGCAGCACAATAAAAATGAGACATTTAAATTGGTGCATCGTGAACGGGGCAGCACAGTAGTTCAGTTTAGCATTGCTGCCTCACAGTGCCAGGGGCTCCAGTTCAAAGTCAGCCTTGGGAGACTGTGCGGAGTTTGCATGTTCACTCCGTGTCTGTGTGGGTTTCTGCCGGGTGTTCTGGCTTCCTCCCACAATCCAAAGATGTGCAGGGTAGGTGGATTGGCCCTGCTAAATTGCCCTGCAGTGTCCAGGGATGTACAGGTTTGTTGGTTAGCCATGGGAAATGTTGGGTTACGATGGTAGGGTGGGAGGCTGATTCTGGGTGGGATGGTTCTTTGGAGGGTCAGTGCAGACGTGATGGGCTAAATGATCTTTCTGCACTTCGGTATTCTATAATTCTTGTAATTAACAAATAGTCATTGAGCAAAGCAATCAGCAGGAAAACAGCTATTATGATTTTTATTTCAATCTAATCTGTAATAACATGGATCAGGACCTTTATTCACATGGACACATATTAACTTTAATCAAACATCAACTTCAAAACCATGTCCCATCCAGATGATCTTTGCTTTTGTCCCTTGAAATGATTCATAAATCATTTTATTGTGCACCATCTAATTTCACTGGGGGTTTTCAGGAATTGGAGCAATCATTGGATAATTAAGCTAAATTTATGTAGGAGTATGATTTATGATGAATAGGTAATCATTGGAGCCTTCAGTTGAGCACAAAACCACAAAAATGTCCTGCTATTTGCATCTACATTCAGTATTACTATTTGCTTACTCACATTGTGGGAAATTGTCATGACTACATATTCATTGGGTCACATCAAGCTTTTTAAAATTCCAACATGCATGTTTTAAATAGAGGACTGATACAGCCAAAATAAAACTACAAATGAAAATTCAGGGTCTATCTGGCAAGAGACACCTGCAGGTATCACAGAGTTTCACAGGCAGAAATGCACTACAAATTGAGCTGCAATCCCATATATCACAGACTGTAAACACTGTGGTTAAAGAAAACACAGCAGTCTTGGGAAAAGGCATTTTAGTGTTTTCCCCTTCTCAGAATGCATAGACAAAAATGAGTTCCAATCCTCGTCCATATATGTCATGGTCTGAAGCCCTGATATGTGAACTAGCGTGCTGGAAGAACAGTGCCTCATTTTCCTCTTGGGAACTCTACAGCTTTCTGAACTCAATATCAAGTTCAACAATTTTAGGGCTTGAGGCACCTTCCCCCATGTCCTTACACTAACACCCACACCCCAGGTCTGGTTATTAGACAGTCTGCCATTACACACAAGCCATTGTTAGCCACTAACAGCCCCATTAGCAGCTATTCATTCTCCCAGACTGATCATTTTCTGAAGAAGGGTCCAGGCCCGAAACGTCAGCCTTCCTGCTCCTCTGATGTTGCTTGGCCTGCTGTGTTCACCCAGCTCTACACCTTGTTATCTCTGATCATTAACTATTCCTTGTTTGTCCAACTGTTCTTCTCTCTCTTTGGACTCTATCTCCACTTACCATTTACTCCTATCCCCTCCCCCCACCCTTTCTTCTGCATAAAAAAACAACTTTTTTCTAGCTACCATCAGTTCTGAGGAAGGGTCACTGGACCTGAAACGTTAACTCTGATTTCTCTCCACAGATGCTGCCAGACCTGCCGAGCTTTTCCAGCAATTTCTGATTTTGTGTGTGTTGATGCTATGAAGGTCGCAGTGCAGCCAGTTAATGACCATCCACTACAGACAAAGAAAGGGAAAATTTTTCACTCTTGTTCTGAGCGCTGACAGACAGCCACAATCAAAAGAAGCTAGAACAAAAGAAAATGAATTAACTGGCAAAGCCACAAATCTCAAAATTGACTACAATGTCAATGCTTCTGGTAACATGTGCACTCTTCATGAATGGCTCAGAGATTGAACCATATATTTATTAATTTTTATCTGTTTTTGAATACACCTCATTTCTAATTCACCTGCATATGTATTTCATTATTATTTTTTCTCACTTTCAATAAATTAAATTGGCTCCTTTTAAAACATGAATTCATTTGATCTAGGAGAAAGGTATCCACAGGAGGGGATCCATTGTAACTTAGCCTTGTCACCATCAACCAAGGAGGCAAGTGAATAGGGAAGGAGAGCCAGATAGTGCCTCCTCACCCAGGGGCTTGACAATTTGGGGTTTCCTATCTGGAACTGTAATAACTTGGTGAACCTCACCAGGGCCTGGTTGTTACAGGAATAAATACAAAAATCATGATGTATTTCTATCTTAATTTCAACCACTTATGGACAAACAAATTAGGAGTGTTGTATTTTTCTCATTGTTTGAAATGATCATTCCACTATTAATATTAATAACACGTGGCACAGTGGCTCAGTGGTTAGCACTGCTGCCTCACAGCGCCACGGACCCGGGTTCAATTCCACCCTCGAGTGACTGTCTGTGTGGAGTTTGCACATTCTCCCCGTGTCTGCGTGGGTTTCCTCCGGGTGCTCCGGTTTCCTCTCTCAGTCCAAAGATGTGCAGGTTAGGGTGGATTGGCCACGCTAAATTGCCTGTAGTGTTCAGAGATGTGTAGATGGGATGTGTCTGGGTGGGAATCTCAGAGGGTGGGTGTGGACTTGTTGGGCCAAAGGACCTGTTCCCACACTGTAGGGATTCTATGAAACAAAAATAAAACTTTAAATGCTGGATTCTGAAGTGAAAGTAGGAAACACTAGAAATTGGATAGTCATTCAAAAATGGGGTTAAAATGTAGGACTATTGATAAAGAATAGACAAGTGAGACTAATTAGACAATTGTTTTCAGAAGCTAGCACAGTTATGATGGGCCAAATGACTGCTTTCTATTCTACAACATTGTTACGAAATATGCAACATGAATCATGAATCAAAAGAAAAAAAGATAACAGTTTAACTTTTTGGGTGCATAACCTTCACGGAGAACACTTAAGATTCTGACTACAGTAGCAAATATTTAATGTAGCATGACAAAGCAAGACAGGCCCATTGTGATAATTACCATCTGGTAGACAATAACTGAAAAACAAAATTTCAGGAGCTGAAAGTCCAACAGCTTGATAACTGACAGAAAGGATTTAACTGAAAGCATAACAAGGGTGTGGCATAGTACAAATGCTGATACTGCAGACAGTGCTGTCTGGTTTCATTTTTGTTCTCCCAAACAATTACCTGGTTTTCAATGGAGGTGGTCTCTGTATTGGTGTGAACATTATCTTATCACAGGATTACCTTTATTATGGCACCAGATCACAAGTATTTTCCCATTGTTCCACAAACCACAAGAGAACGAGTCAGGGAGCGCACGTACCTCAACTACAAAATAAACTGAATCCATAGGAAAATTAAAGCAAAATTCAATTAAAAGAAGTATTGGCGCTGATACTTACTGGTAGGTGGGAAGTTGGGAGGGCAAGATGCAAACAGGCAATGGATCTAAAAAGGTGGAGGTCCTGCTGCTCTTAATGGCAGAACCACATTGCTATTTGGTCAGAGATAGTAAGAACTGCTGATGCTGGAGAATCTGAGATAACAAGGTGTAGAGCTGGATGAACACTGCAGGCCAAGCAGCATCAGAGGAGCAGGAAGGCTGACATTTCGGGCCTAGACCCTTCTTCATTTGGTCCTTTTTCAAACTGACCAGGGGTCAAGCAGACTGGCTGTGTGGCCAGAGGGTTTAAGCGAAGCTAAGCTGTGGCAGGAAGCCATGATCAAACATGATGGGGGCAGTCTCTAATTGGGAATAAAAGCAAGTTAACTCCTGGCAAGCTGAGGTGGGAGAATAGAGCAACAGTGGGGAGAAGGGCAGAGTGCTCTTACTCCTGATGAAGTACAAGGAACACTGGGAAACGCACTTACCTGTGGAGTCATTAGCTACCATCTTGCTTCATCATCTGCTTTTCTAACCAAGGAAACCCTTGCATCTGTGATAAATTTTAAATCATTTCCCACTTCTACAGCAGGAGCTCAATTTAAACAGATGTTAATTAAGTTTCCCACTACTCCACTGTGGAACAGTCAGACACCCCAATATCCTCAGTCAGGCGGGTGCAAAGTGTTAGGGATATGTTCATTGTAGATAAATCTTTAATGCTCATAACACCCAATCTCTTCCATTCCTGGGGTGAGGGTGGCGGGTGTAGTGGAGTGAGCATGGTTAATGCTACTAATGTTGTCAGATGTCAATATTTCTGTTTAACATTATGGTTTCAGG